GGCTGTTAGCCGCAATAAGTGCAGTAAAACCCGACGTTATCCAATGAAAAGTGTCGTTATCAACTGAACGCCAACGTGCTCTGTGTGTGTCACTCGTTATTCTCAGAGTGAACGTCGCTCTCTTTCACGTTCATTACTTCAAATCTGATCCGTTCACTAAAAATATGAACGTGTTCAGTGAACGTGTTCATGCACAACACTGCCTCTCATGCCTTGTGAGCCTCTTTACTTCCTTAAGTCAATGCCAAAAACAGCTTAAAAGCTTTGCTGATATTCACGTTTTGCTTCTTTTTTATGAGTTTTTATTTTTTTGCCTTACATCTGAGAAAGTAACATCAGAAGAAAAAAATCTGGCAATGCCTGAGCTCCGTCTCATGTGACTTTTACCTAATATTTCTGTTGCACTGGAAAAACGATTTAGAAATAAGTAAAACTTTTTTAAATTAAGTGTATTTACCCTTAATTTGAGTAGGAAAAGTAGGTAGTTTGCCAATGGAATTAGTATTTTTACTCTTAAAAAGAGATAATTAGATAAAATGCACTTGAAATAAGACAATGCAGTTGTGTTTTCCTATTTTAAGAATAAATTGTCTCGTTCCATCGGCAAAATGTCATTTTTATCTACTCAATCAAAGAACATTTTAAGATTATTTTAAGAAAAAATGACTTATCAAGATTTGGATTTTTTCCAGAAGGATCCTTTAGTATCAACATTGGCATTTTAACCCAAAATAAACACATTGTTTATATATTGTGGAAATGTATAAAGTAATTATTTATTCACCACACATTTTTTTTCAATAAAATTAATTTATCTTGTGGATATGTTATTTTTGAAAGTTTAATCGGTTTGATTAAAAAGTTGTAGCTATGACCAATGAGGACTTATTTTAAAACTGTGGAAAAACTGAGAAAAATAAAACATTCTGGACATTTTTCTACATTTAGGAAAAGCATAATTATGCATCTTAGAATTGAGAGAAGGTGCTTTTGATTTCAACAGATTATCCTTGAGATTCCTCTTCTTCTTGAAAGGAATCCAAAACTGAATTTTAATAGAATACAGCTATTTTTTTTAGTTTTTATAGTTGACGGCTAGTATCAGAACAGAAGCAAAGAACTGAAGTGAAAAAAATAAATCCTCCAATCCCTGAAATAGGGCTGTTAAAAGTACAAATTTAATGAAAGATCCAAATATGTATTGTCAACACTGAACATCTTGAAAATAACTGTGGTCTCTGTGTCTTTGGAAGTGTATGAAATAGTAAACAGACCAAGAAACCGATGATCACTGAGGCATAGCTCCAGTTTTCTCTTATGGTAAATATGAGATCCTTCCAGATGGTTAACAGATGGTTAGAGAGAAATCCTTCCTCACTAAAAGGCCGAGGCAGCCCTGTTGAAATGGATCAGGTAGCTCTTAGAAAACGTCCAACCAGTTTAAACTAAATTTACTGGTTTGATGAAAACCAAACCAACATTTCTGGCTAAAGCGTAAAGCATCGTATCTGCACTGCAAAAAATATAAATGTAATTAAGTCATTTTTTCTTAAAATAAATGCATTTTTTCTTGAATTGAGGGGGTAAGTGAGACATTTTGCCAATGAAAACGAGACAATTTACACTTAAAATAAGAAAAAACAACTGCATTGTCTTATTTTAAGTGCATATTATCTAATTAACTTATTCTAAGAATAAAAATACTCATTCCATTGGCAAACTGTCTTATCTTTCTGCTCAAATTAAGAGTAAATTCACTTAATTTAAGGCATTTTCACTTATTTCTAGATCATTTTTGCAGTGTGGAGACAAGGGAATAAAGGCAAAAAACAATCTAGAAATAAGTCAACATTTCCACTTAATTTGAGTATGATTTTTTACTCTAAAAATAAGATAATTATATAATATGCACTTGAAATAAGACAATGCAATTGTTTTTTCTTATTTTAGATGTAAATTGTGTTGTTCCTTTGGCAAAGTGTCTCACCTCCTTGATTCAAGAACGTATGCACTTATATTAAGAAAAAATGACTTATCTAGATTGCAATTTTTTCCACTGCAGCCACTACAAAAACGCTCTAGAATTAAGTTAGCATTTCTTAAATTAAGTGCATTTATCCTTACTTTAAGTAGGTAAATGAGATAGTTTGCCAATGGAATGAGTATTTTTACTCTTAAAATAAGATAGTTAGATAATATGCTCTTGAAATAAGACAATGCAATTGTGTTTTCTTAAATCTAAATTGTCTTGTTCCATTGGCAAAATGTCTCTTTTACCCCCTCAATTCAAGAACAAATGCACTTATTTAAAGAAAAAATT